TATGATAGATAATTTGTCTATCAATAGACAAACTATAGAAAACACCCAATGCTCTTGTAGTCACTTTATTACCCAGTATATATATGACAGGAAACCAAGAACCTTAGTTATTTCACAACCTATAAACTTTGCCCTCTTTCAGAAACAACTAAATCCTTTGCTATTTTATCTTCTAATCACAATACCCTATGGGCCAGTCAACAATCAGCAAAAGCAAACTAGAAGCCAGGCTAGCTTCTAGTCAGAGGTCAAATAAAGTCATGGAAGGCAATAAAACTTCCACTTTGGATGTCCTCGTCTAAGGAAGCAGGACATCTGCCCCAGAGGAGAAAGACGGCTTCCGCACTGTGTCCCGTGACAGGCCAGGCTGTCACCAACAGCTGTAAGTCTGTGCCCGCGCTGTGGGAAGAGCGGTGCAGATGTGCGATGGCAGCTGGAGCAGTGGGAAGCACCCCAGATGACAGGCGGCCCAGAACCCTCTGGAGGAACTCTGCAGACTTAGGCAATCACAACGACGCATTTCAACCTTTGCTTCATACAACAAAACTTTTTAAAATGTCTTACTACTGTAAGGAAATACTAGAGCTACTTTTTTTCTCTTTTGCTGTAAGATTGGCAATGAACTGGTTTGAGTGACGTTCAAACTGTAAAGGCAGCTCAGAAACATGAGCAGAGCTCTGCTTTTAGAAAATTTATTACCCAAATACAGTCAATAAACAAAGAGAATTAAAAATTCCAGAAAGTGAGGTGAGAACAATGCCATAACAACTGTCTATGACACTGACAGGAATTTTATATGGACAAGTTTTCCAGACAATCAAAATTTAAAGAGTAAATACAAACATTATTTTTCCCCCCTACCAGAGACTGACTCCAGGGCCATCACGCTAAGCTCTATGCTCTGTCCTTTTTATTTTGATACAGGACCCCACTAAGTTATCTGGGTTAGGCTCAAACTTTTCATCTTCCTGCATCTGACTACTACGCTGCTCAGATTGCAGGGACATGCCACCATGCGTGGCCTATTTTAATATTTGTGGAAGAATGGGGCTGGGGATTTAGCTCAGTGGCATAAGCACCTGCCTTGCAAGCAGACAGTCATGAGTTCGATCCCCGGTACCGATAAAAAGGAAAAAGACAAAAAACAAAAAAAACACTATGGAGAACAATTATTAATATAGTTGAAAACCTATATACCCAATCAATGAATATCACACTAGTGGTAGAAACTAGCATAATTTTTATGGTGAAGCATGGTGGCACACACCTGTAATCCCAGCACTCAGGAGGCTGAGACAGAAGGATTTCTGCAAGTTTGAGACTAGCTTGGACTATAAAGTAAGCTCAAGGTCAGCCTAATAGTTTTTTTCTTTTTTTCAAAAAGAAAAAAAAAAGGAATAATTTTTATATATTCATAAAAGAAGAAAAATGAGTCTATATTCACAAAACAAGAAAAATGAATGAACTATATATATTTATACATATACATGTTTTAAAAATGCATTAATTTTCTTCTAAAACTTTTTAAAATTCTTTTTGGGTGTATATGTGTGACAGGGTCTTGCTGTGTAGTTCAGGCTGGCCTTGAACTCATTAGGCAGCCCAGATTGGCACTTGGAGGGCTGAGGCAGGAAGGGTCACAGCAAGTTCAAGATAGCCTGGCTACACAGTGAGTTCAAGACAAGCTGAACTACATAGTGAGACCCTGTCTCAAAAAAAACAAAGGTCTGGGGATTTAGCTCAGTGGCTTAAGTGCTTGCCTTAAGTGCAAGGCTGTAAGTTCAACCTCCAGTACCAAAAAAAGTGGGGGCAGGGCAGGGGGAGGAAAAGAAAAAGATAAAAACAAGGACTAAGGTACCCTGTCACATACACAAAACGAATAAAAATAATAAAAATTGTACAAGACAGTTAATGCATTTTTGAAATTTGTATATGTAACTACCTGTTACAAAAGATGCATTCCCATGTTTTTGCAATTTATGCACATATAAATGTATATAGCCCTAGTTCATTCATTTTCTTCTTTTGTGAATATATAAAAAGTATTTTTGGAGGGGCGGGTACCGAGAATTGAACTCACGATTTATGCTGATGAGCTAAATCCCCAGCCCCTTAAAAAGTTACTATTTTGTCTTTTTGAGACAGGGTTTCACTATTGCAGTTTAGACTGCCCTTGAGCTCACTGTGCATGTTTTTCCAGCATACACGAGTTTCTGGGTTTGCTTTTAAGTAATAACAAAAAGAAAAACAGAGATAGTAGGGAGAGAGAGGAAGGGAGGAACAAAACAAGACACACACACACACACACACACACACACACACACACACACACACGGAGAAAGACAGACAGACAGAGAGACCAAGAAAGCTTAATGAAAACAACCTTCAAAATCCTACTATAGAGCTGGGAATATAGCACAGTGGCAAAGTATCTTACTGGCAAGCATGAAGTCACAAGCTTGATTCCCAGTACAAAAAAAAAATCCTACTATAAGCTACAGTGGTGTGTATGCCTGTAATCTCAACTATTTGCAAGGCTGAGGAGGAAGATTTCAAGTTTGAGGCCACCCTGGGCAACTCAGCAAGACTGCCTCACAATAAAATTGGAAATGGGCTGGGAATTTAGCTCAGAGGCATAAGCACCTGCCTTGCAAGCAGGCAGTCATGAGTTCGATCCCCAGTACTGATAAAAAAAATAAATAAATAAATAAAATTGGAAATAAGGGCTGGGGATGCAGCTCTTGATAGTACTCTTGCCTAGCACATGAAAAGCCAGAGCTTGATCCCCAGCACCACTATAAAAAAAAGGGGTGGAGAAGGGATACAGCTCAGCAGCACAAGTGCCTGCCTGGCAAGTGCAAGGTCCTGAGTTTGATTCCTGTTTTAAAAAAAAAAAAAAAAAAAAAATCAAGCCGAGTGTGGAGGCTCATGCCTGTAATCCCAGCGCTTGGGAGGCTGAGGCAGGAGGATCCTTTCGAGTTCGAGACCAGCCTGGGCTACAAAGTGAGCCCAAGGCCAGCCTGAACTGCATAGCGAGACTCTGTCTCAAAAAGACAAAAAAAATCAAACACAAAACAAAAAAGAGCTTACCACAAACAATGAAGATGTGAAAACTAATAAAGTTAGGTGGTATATGCTTGAAACATTTCACAACAAAAACACAAGAGATAAAATACTTGAGCTAAAAAAAGCCAAATATTTTCAGCTCTCTAATATTCATCAAATTTCAAACTCCAAGAATATGAGTATGCTAGCTGATATAATGGCACACACTGGTAACCCAGCACTCTGAGATTAAATCAAGAAGACAGAAAGCTCAACCCAGCCTGGCAGATTTTGAGAATCAAGACTCCAACCAACAAAAAATTGATAAGGATGCAGCTCTGCGCTAAGGCCCTGACTGAGTTCAATGCCCATTACCAAAAAGACAAAACAAAACAAAAGATTACACACAGCAGCTCACCGAAGGAAACCTCATCACAGTCTTTCAATGTATCTACTAAAACTGAAAAAGTAAAGGCAGACATTTGATCTTTGGAACCAGAAAAATGCTTCCGATGTTATCTTCAATACACTAACAGTTTATGACTGTAATAGTACTGGAAGTTATGTAAGATAGTCAACTAATCAGGTAAGGTTCGGTTACTCATTTCCAAAATGAGTCCCATTTCAGACTTGTGCTAAGGAGCCAAATTCCACCTTAATCCTACTGGCTCAGGACTATCCCAGTTTGAAAGTTTAAAACTGTGTTTCTGAACCTCTAGTTTCAGGCAAACTTGGGATAGTTAGCCTGACTCTACCTACCAGGTCATATCTCTAAGACTCTAACTTTGGGTCATATCAATTTTTTTTTTTTTTTTTTTGTAGGGATTGAACTCATGACCTTGTGCTTACAAGGCTGAGCTAAATGCCCAGCCCAATATCAAAATTTTTGAGCTAGAGAAGAATTCTGAGATTAATGAGTGAATTACTTAATTTTACAGATGGGAAAAGGACTTTTGTATTTTAATGTACCAAAAAAGCTCCAAGCATTAAAGCGCTACAATTTGTTCACCCTCCAGACTAACTCTCTGCAGATCTGACTGGTGGTTTTCCAGCCCTTTATAAGAACTAGTGAGGAGAAGCCTTGTGCTCTCCCCAATTCTAACTCCATCTCTATAATTCTCTTGTCATTTTACAGGGAGCTGACATCTGAGTGTGTGACCAGTGAAGAGTCTCTGTGTCCCATGCCATCTATTATTTTCCTTTCCTGATTCCCTCCTTTGAACTTAGAACTTTTTACACTTAGCCTTGCATTGTGCAATCATTCAGACAATGAACATTTACTGAGCAATGTCAGGAACTGTGCTAGATACTGGAAAAAGTAAATAAAATGTACACAGCCTCATAAGAGTGTTAAGAACAAAATATGTAAAATAACAAACAGTGTGGACTATGAGGTGCTTCACTTCAGGAAGTCAGAGAAGATTTTAATTGAGAAGGTGGTATCTGATAGCCAGGGAGGAAATGTATCATCCATGCCTTAAACAGTCCTGTGGGGTTCACGTTATAGGGTCAGGCTAGCATGAGGGAAGCCCCTGGGTTTAATTCCTTAGTGCCACAAAACAAATACAAACAACCACCATCACAAACCAGCCTGGTTTTTCCTAACACCAAAGGGACCAAAAGATATAATGCTTTGTTCTCAATTGAAGTTCAACAAATACATAAATCTGACAAAATCTAGTAATCCTGCCCTAGCTGGGCAAGGTGGTACACACTTGCAATCCCAGTACTCAAGAGGCTGAGGCAGAAGGACTGCTGTGAATTTGAGATCAGCCTAAACTACACAGTGAGTTCAAAAACAGCCTGAGCTACATAGTTCAAAAATAGCCTGAACTACAGATAGTTCTGAAAACACCTAAATTTAGAAAAAAGCCTGCTCCCCCACCTCTCTTCGAGATGAGGGTGGGGTTAACTAAATCCTCTAGCAAGATAACTTTCAGAGGCTGACACTGTACCTGGCTACGTACAGCGTTGCTCAGGTGGTTGTCCTCAGACATCTGTGCATTTTGGAAGTAGGACAAAGGTGCCGGTAACTCTGTCATTGGAGCAACTGAATAGAATTACTTTTTCACAGAAAGTAAATCCTCTTGAGGGTCTAAAAAGAAAAAGAAAACAGAATATCATGCATTATGACTATACTCAAGTTTTAAACACTCTGACAAATTTCATTCAGCAGAAACAAACCTTTCTCTCATGTGTTCTCCTCCAGGCCACGCTGATCTTGGACCTCAAGGGCTGCTATCGCATACAGACTCCTGGATTTGATCTGAAATCAAATTTTACTCAGTCATCCATAGTTGGTCAAATACTAATAAATTCATTCAAACTCACGACCTTGCACATGCCAGGGAGGCACTTATGCCACTGAGGATATCCCAAGCCCCAAATGTGGCTAATTTGTAAACCAGAAATGTTGATTTGTCCTCACCTTTAACTGACGTATTTGTTAGTGGGACACCTCTTCAATGGTGAGCTGTCAAACACAAAAATACAGCCAGGTGTGGCACATGCCTGTAATCTCAGCACCCAAGCCTGAGGCAGGAGGATCCTCCTGAGTTTAGTCAGCCTGGGCTAAGTGGGTTCAAGGCCAGTTTGCACTACATAGTGAGATCCTATCTCAAAAGAATCAAATTAGAGAAACAAAAAACCAAACACCAAAGATATTTAATGACTTCACATTAAAAAGAAAGGGAATTGACTGATTTCATGGAATGTTCTCAATATGTTTTTCGATGCTGACCACTCCAACCTAATTTTTGTATCTCCATAAAATTATGTTTAGTGTTTCTAATCTTGTAAAATTCTTTTGTGTGTGTGTGTGTCAATGAATGAATTCTAGTCCATTGGAGAAAAGGAACGGGGACTAGGAATAGCTCTTGAGAAACAGGAGGGGTCCCAAATGGGTTGCCCTCTAATGTTGTAAAATTCTTGCTGTCATCTCACTTCATCCTCATCAGAACATCACAAGGCAGTGTGGATAGGTAACACATCTATTTTACAAAAGCAGAAGAGGGTACACAGAGAGAGATACTAAGGATATTATGATAAAAGCAAACTGCAGATAATTGTTTTTTAATCTAAAAGTGGGCTAGGGGTATAGCATTGTGGCATGCTGTTTACATTACAGCATGTGTTTAGCATGCAGGAGATCCTGGGATCAACCCTCAAAACAACAAAAAACAAACCAGAAGCGCATCCAGTAAGTTCTTAAGGACACACACTCAGACTCAAGGCAGACCACGACAAGAACTGGACGCCTGCCGCCCTGCTCTTTTGCCCCAGGCACAGCCTACTACAGACAAGACCAGCTCTCACACCTCCTGAGGGCCACATTCCCATGTCCAGCTACCTTCATGTCCATTCGCTAACTCTGAAGGACTTCTGCTTTTCCTTTTCATAGACAGCCTCTAGAACAATAAAAGATCTGGTCACGGTACTTAAGAAGTATATTTCCTTTTTCTTTTGTCCTTCTTGAGACAGTTTCACTGTGCAGTTCAGGCTGGCCTTGAATTCACTTTGTACCCCAGTCTGGCCTTGAACTCAGGCAATCCTCTGGCTTCATCCTCCCAAATGCTGGGAAAGGCGTGTGCCACCACGCCCTGCTCAACCAGTGTATTTCTGATAAACACATAGTATCTAAAACAACAACAACAACAGGCAAATAATCAGTGGTAGAACACTCACCTAGCATGGATTAGACTCTGGATTAATTCCCAACACTACAACAAATGAAAGCATTATCAAGTAAATGTTCCTATAAAAAGCACTTTATCCATATCCTGTTTCACTTTTTTTTCCCTGCTAGTATTAGGCACTGTGCAAGGTCTTTACACAGAGTTACCTCCTTAGCTCCTTTTTTGTCTGGTTTTGTTTTTCGGGACAGGATCTTGCTATGTACTTCAGGCTTGTTTTGAATTCATTATGTAGCTCAGGCTGGCCTCAACATCAATGGCAAGTCTCCTGCCTCAGCCTCCCAAATGCTGCGATTAGAGGTGTGTTGTCACCACACCAGTCTAGCTCTTTATTTTTTGAGGCAGGGATCTTACTACACTGCCCAAGCCGGCCTCAAATATATGATCCTCCTGACTCAGTCTTCCCAGTAGGTGGGTTATAGGTATGTACCCCTAGGCTAGGCTCATTTTCAGGATTTTCTAATCTTTAAATATTCCATTTGTTTCTTCTAATAATTTGTCATTAAAATGCAGAAAGTGGCTTTTTCCTTTAATAAAGAAATCAAGTTCAAATCAACTCTTATTTACCTTGGATTATCTAAATCATGAGAAATTTTTTCAGGAGGGTACTGGGGACAGAACTCTAGGCAAGTGACTCACCACTGAGCTACATCTTTTAGCTCATGACAAATTTTTCTTGTTCAAACTCACTTACAAACTAATTTAAACCTTTTTCTACAAAAATCCAGTTTAAATAACTTTTGCCTGTTTTTTTTTCTTTCTGTTCAACCAGGCAATTTCAGGTATCAGTAAAAGTACATGAGGAGTTGGGCTGGGGCTTCAGCTCAGTGGCACAAGCCACCTGCCTGGCAAGTATGAGGTCATGAGTTGGATCCCTGGTACCAAAAAACAACAACAAAAAAAAGTACATGAGGAGCAACACTTCTGCGGTTTTTTCCCCTTGTTCCATATAGTTTTTATTTTTTATCACCATGTTTGCAGTACAGAATGTTTACATTCCTTGTGTGAAGTTGGCACATGTATATGTCTTTTTTCATCCTCTTCTCCTCCTCACTCTCTCCCCTTCCTCTATCTCTTGCTTCCCTTACCATCTGAGAAAGATCCATCTCTCTACTTCCTATTATCTTTTACTTTGCTCTTTATTTATATCTTGGGTTTCTCAGGTAAGAGAAAGCGTGCGATATTTAAGTTTGTGCTTCTGATTTATCTCACTTAACATTATAGTCTCGTGGTGTATTCATCTTCCCGCAAATGACTTGTTCACCCTTTTATATGGCAGAGCATAACTCCATTGTGAGTAAATACATTTTTTTTATCCGTTCATCTGCTGATGGACATTTAGGCTACTTCCAAGATTTAACTATAACGAATCTGTTGCTATAAACATCTAATCAGTGTAATGTGACGTCTTTAACTCATTTGGGAGGATACCTATGAGAGTAGCTGGTATGATGGAGTTTCTAGTTTTAGTATTTTGGGGTTTTTAATTTTGTTTTTAGTTTTTTGAGGAATTTCCATACAGATTTCCACAGTGATTGGACTAGTTTATATTCCTACTAACAATGTAGAAGGTTCCTTGTTCCCCATATCCTAGCCAGTACTTACTATTATTTGACTTGATCATGGCCATTCTTTCTGGGCTAAGACAAAATTTCAGTGTTGTTTCAATTTTATTTCTCTAATAGCCACAATGCTGAATATTTATTCATGCATTTATTTGTTATCAGTACTGCTGAAAAGTGCCTCTTAATTTCACTTGCCCATGTTTCAATTGGTTCTCTGATTTGGGGGGGGGGGGGAGTAATACTTTTGAGTTCTAGATACGAGTCTTCTGCCTGAGGAATGGCAGGCAAAATTTTTTCCCGTTCTGTATGTTGCCTTTTCACTCAGTTGGTCAGTTCTTGTGCTGTGTGAAAGGTTTATACTTTATTTATTTATTTTTGTTTAGCTTCTTGAGACAAGATTTACTACACAGTCGAGGCTGGCCTTGAACTCATTTGTAGCCCAAATTGGCCTCAAACTCACAGCAATCTTCCTGCCTCAGCTTCTCAAGAACTGGGATTACAGGCATGTATCACCATGCCAGATGACAGTTTTCTAACTTGATATAATCCCATCTGTTGATTCTTGGTACTATTTCCTATGCCACTGGCATTCAGAAAGTCCTTGCCTATGCCTACAATTTCAAGAGTTTTACCTATTTTTTCTCTCAATGTTTCTTCTTTAACATTTAGGTCTTTGACATATTTTTATTTTAGTCGAGTGCATGTTGAGATAAACAGATAATCAATCTTCTGCATATGAACAACCAGTTTTCCCAGCACAATTTAATAAATATGCTATCTTTCCTCCAGTGTATGTTTTCTGGATTCTCTGTCAAAGGTCAAATAGTTGAATGTACCTAGGGTTGTTTCTGTATCCTCTGTTCTGTCCCTCTGATCTACATGTCTGTTTTTGTCCCAGTGCCATGCTGTTTCCATCACTGCAGCTTTGTAATATAATTTCAGATCCAGGATTGTGATGTGTTCTGCTTTGTTCATGTTACCCAGGATTGCTTCTGTTATTCTAGATCTCCTATGGTTCTCTTCATGACAAATTTCTAACTAAAACAGACTTTGCCTTCATCCCACATGCTTTTTTATGCCATATCCATCTTTCTCTTCCCTTCTTTAGCCCAGTCAGCTGGCACTGGATCAGGGAACTATATAAATATGCTTAAAAAATAAAGTGAACTTAGGCATGGTACTATGCCTTATATCAGTCATACCACTTTAGGAGCAAGAGGTAGTAGATGGTTGTGAGTTCAAACTCAACCTGAAGTACTTAGCAACTTAGATCCTGTTTCAAAATTTAAAAACATTATTAAAAAGGAGCCAAGGATGTAGCTCCATGGGAAAAGCCTAGGTTCAATTAGCAATACTGTGAAAGGAAGGAATTTAAAAATTCAAATAGATTTTTGTGCGAGTAAACCTACACTTAGGTTATTTATCCCTTTGGTTATTTGTTTGTCTCACTATGAAGCCCACGCTGGCCTCCATGACAAGCCTGGTGCCTCAGTCCTAAGTGCTGGAATTATAGGAATGTACCATTATGCCTGGCCCTATTTATTTATTTATTTATTTATACTAGGGACTGAACCCAGGGCCTCCTCATTGAGATACATTCCAGCCTTTTTAAAATTTTGAGATAGCCTTGCTAAGTAGCTCAAGCTACTTGAGCTACTCCTGCTTCAGCCTCTCAGAGTGCTGGAACTAAATGCATGTACCTCCATGCTCAGCTAGGTTCTATTTTTTAATACAGATAAATATTAAGGCCCAGCAATACGTGTATTTACATACTCAAAAAAGAATGCAGAAAGAATAGTTCTGTTTTGGGGCAGTGGTACAAGTGCCTACTTGGCAAGTCAAGGTCCTGAGTTCAATCCCTGGTATAAAAAAAAAAAAAAAAAAAAGCCAAAAGAAAAGTAAAAGAACAGTTCTGTTTTCAAAGACAATATACCTTCTGATAGGTTCTGCCCATATGAAAGTCAATGTGGCACCTGCCCAACATGGCGCTGGGCCCTAGAGCGACAGTG